CTCGTGGTGCTCTGGGTGGGTGGGTGATCCTCGGAGCGGGGCACAAACGTTGTGTCCTCCTCCTCACCCATGAAGTCAGGGATGGCATATTTGGGAGCGGCTGTCCCCACGTCCTCGGGGACCACGCTCAGGAGGTCATTCATAGCTAAACCCCCAGGCTCCATCTCTCCTTTGCCGCGCACAGGGGCAGAAGCGTTTGTGCTGCTGGTCACCAGGTGGTCCTCCCTTGCTGCTCCTCCTGGCTTGACAGTGTGCAGGACATCACCGGGCATCTCATGGGAGCCCTCCACGTCGTTGGTGCTCAGCTCTGGCTTATGCCCCTCGCCTTTTGTCTCTTTCTCCGTGAAGGGATAGTAAGACAGATCCTCATGGAAGTTGATAAAATTATAATCGTAGTAAAAATCATCAACAAAGACATTTCCCTTCTTGGCTGAGAAGTCCTCCTCAGTGATGACATTGACATCATTGGACTCCGGAATATTTGGAATTAAGGGGTTAAATTTAGCAATGTGGTTGCTGGGGATGTAATGGATTTCATTAAATATCTCCCTGCTGGAGAACCCACTGCCAGACCAGTCCGTGTTGGCATTGTCCACTTTCTTCTGGCACTGCAGCAAGGAGCAAATAGTTTCCGAGCTGGGTCTTTCTGCGGGGTCACAAGCGGCTCCAGTGCTGTTGCTGCAGTACACAGGGCGTCTCTGTGTCCCGTTTCCACACGTCGCGGAGCACTGGGGAAGGAAGAGAGATGTAAATCATAGAAACATAGAATCATTATGGTTGGAAGAGACCTCAAAGATCATCAAATGTCAGGGACGGGAGCGCGGGCGATGCCGGGTGCAGCAGGAGGAGCAGGGAAGGGGCTGGCTGCGGTGCGGCAGCAGTGCCCATGCCCCTCGCCAGTGCTCCCCTCTGAGATACCGAAGCGGATGCTCGACTGTCCCATGTGCCGCGATGCTTTGGGCAGAGGGAGAAGGGGCTCCACGTCGCTCTGCCACACTCCCACCGCCCACCTGGGTCCTGAGACGTCTCCCGTGCCCATCCCAGCTGGGGCTGGCATCCCCTGTACTAGCAGTCGGGAGCAGGGGGCACCGGTCACACCAGTAAGCAGTGTTAATGCCTGTCAAATCCCCCTCTGGGGCCGTCTCCCCATCAAAGACCGTCCCAGTGCAGGGCTGGTAATTGCACGGTACTTTGCTCGGGGTGATCCTTGACCTGCACTCCAGCCAGAAAAAATTTTCCCAGGAGATGGACACTGTGACGGGCACTGGGTAACATGATCTAATAGGTCTTCTCTATGACCTACTGCCACGAATTGCAGCTCTTCCTCTAGAAGAGAATTTTTTGAAGCAGGGGCTAATAACATGGGTGTTGTCCTAGTAGGGAAAAAGCGAGGGTCAATAAACAGCTTTGTTGAGGACACCCCCTCCTCCACCATAATGGTTTCTTTGAGATTGTTCAGTATAAAAGAAACCCACAAGCTGGAGAGAAGAACAGCAAAATTTTCTGCTGGGTAAGTAAATCACAGCACTGCTAACACCACATGTGGGCTGCCCAAGGCATGGGCCGCCGCAGCCTGTGGTGACAGATGCACAGAGCATTAGTCACGTACATCAAAGCGCCTTATACAAGCCAGCCAAGGAGAACAAATGGTCAACAAGGCAAACAAACCCAAGGGAGTGGATTTCTGATGAAACCGCGGCTATTTGGATGAAAACGGATGGGCTGAGGCAAGGGTTTGCTGCAGAGCCGCCAGCACGTGGAAATGCAGAGGTTAAGGTGGACAGGCAGAGCTGCTGGGCTGGGCGGGCCGGCGGGGAGATGTGCTCCTCGGACAACACGTACTCCCGCATTCTTAAGCCTTGCTGGTCTTTGCCCAGGCCTCACGAAGGCCAGGTGCCCGGTCGGGACCTGCTCCGCTCCCCGTGGGAGGCTCCCGGGTGGGCACCCGCCCACCCCATGGGATGTCTCCTCCCAGGCAGGGGCTGTCCGGAGCAGATGCTGACCCAGCAGCCGGGACGTCCCCAGCTCCCTGTCCCCTGGGCAATGCTGGGCAGGAGCAGAAACGATCCTGAGGACTGTGCCGGGCAGGAGGGACAGTCCCCAACACCGTGTGGGCACCACCGGGCATCTCCACCAGCTAAGCAGCGTTGCTGAAATAAAACATGACTGCACATTAACGTCTGTGGGAGGTGTGGAAGGAAGCTGCTTCTCCCTACGGGGATGGCACTGCCAAATTGGGGAAAAGAGAGGTCAACTCCCACAGCGTGCGCCTTAAGCTAAAATTTCTCAGCGAATGCCTCCAGCTCCATCCAGGAGATAAACTCCAGGTATTGCTGCTCTTGCGGGGGGGAAAGGAGGGGGCTTATTTGCCAAGGCTTGGTTATCAGGAAAGCCTCTGGGATGCAACCAAGAAATGGTGGCTGTTAGGAGCTTCATGGAGGAACACCCAACGCTGGCAGGAGGGTTTGGCATCAAGCACTCGTGGGAGGCATCACAGCAGCCTGCACCGTGCCAGGAGACAGACACTCCCGTTCGTGTATGAACGGACCACAAATAATACTTCTGGCCCCACTGGTAGCTTCTTTGGAAAGTCCATAAAGCTGGACATACACTGCTTTAGGGTCCTTCTGAAGGCACTAAATCTCAGTGTTTCAGCACTTTGTTGGGCTACCCAAACTACAAATAACCCCTTTGGCTTCGCGGGCTGCCCGGGTGCTGCCCTGCCCCAGGGTCTGCAGTACAAAAAAAGTAACAACCCTCCATCACTATCGCGGAACAGAAGGACCATGTTTCTGGGAAGCCCCTCAAATCTCTCTGCTTACTGGTGGTGGTGGAAATGGAGAAGAAGGAGGGCTCTTGCTTTAAATGAAAGAAGGACAGAAAAATTACAGACATCTCAAAATCTCGAGCACATTTTTCCTGGGCTCACAGATCCATCGATGTCAACACCACAGAGGATGACTGTGACGGCTTGGGCTGGCTCCGTGCACAGACCCGCAGGCAATTCATGATTTTCCCTTTTAAACTGCTGCAGCCGTCTTTCTCAGCCCTTCAATTGTGGCCTTTGTGGGCCCCTAGAAAAATATTTCTAAATAGCTCTCATTTAGCCTTCAAATTTTCTGTTCGCACTTTTATTCCATTCGTTTCTTAGCAACAAGCTCAGTTCCCAGGCTCTCTCATTTCTCTCCCGATATTTGTCTTCATACTGAACACTTCTTGAAACCGCTGCTTAAATTAGGAGTTATAATTTTCTCGTTAAAACCCTCAACCTGTGGTTAAGCTGACCCACAGAAATACAAAAATAAATAAAGGCTACACAGGGTGTCCACAGGTCATGGCATGTTATACATGGGAGTTTTTTGGTCTCTCCCTCCCTTTATAAAAAAATAGTTGGAAAATTTTGTGATGGCTCCCCCATTCCCTGGGAGCATCGCTGAGGGGGTCTGTGTCTGCCCAGCCCTGCAGCAGAGAGGAGGCAGATTCAGCCCAGCGCCAGGTCATGCTGCCGGGGAGCAGCTGCCCACCGCCGTGCAGCGGCCCACCGCCGGCACACGCGGGTGTGCTGTGCCCACACCCCGACTTGCCCCTAACACCCTGCCGCAGCAGGCAAGAAATGTTCTTAAGGCTTCTGCCAAAACAAAGGGGAAGACTGGTGGTGCTGGAAAATACATTGAAGGGTTGAAAGCCTCTTGTTTCTGCCCTCCTTGCACAAAGCATGGAGCATGGTCGTCACCCTGACTGAGGGAGCAGCAAGGTTCAGAGAAGATGGGGCAAACAGCCCAGTGCTCCTTCCTCACTCTGAGACCTGCCCGTGCGATGAAATTCCTATCTGTGTGAGCTGGCGTTACAACCTGAGCCCACGGGAACACATCCATGAATTTTCCCCGAAAGCAGGAGCACGCCCATCGCCCTCGGGCAGGCTGAGGATGTCTGGGGGCACTTGGTCCCCAGCTCCCACCAGCTTTACAGGACACTGGGACCTCCCACATGCTTCTTCTCACCTCGGACCAGTTCCCCACAGCCCACTGGGAGGGACAGGGGATCTCCTGGTGACAGGGCGCAGTGGCATCTGGTTTGGGGAGATGCTGGCAGTCTGCTTGCTGCAAGGCCCTCTGCTCGTCCAGCCCCACGCTCTGGATGCACAGCACCGTCCTCTTCATCAGGCCCGATCGGCCGCAGGTGGCCGAGCATTTCTGCCACTCGCCGACCCACCACCTGGGGAAACGTGGAAAGGGAAATCACGGAGGAAATCAGGATCCTGACTCCAGTTTGTGTTTCAGCCCGAGGTCACGGCGCCCGGCCCGAGGGTCAGGGATGGGTTAGTCCCCGTGTTGTGCCGGGGATGGTTATTTGCCCAGAGGCAGAGAGGGGCTCCTGGTCCTGCCAGGATGGTGCCTTCCCAGGTGGCCTGCAGTCTGTGGACAAGCGATACCTGCAGCGGTGGGGCAACCCCAGGGATTTGCTCTCATGGACCAACGCAGGGTCTGGGACCCACTCTCAGGCAGGACAGGAGAGGTGCAAACGGCTGCACAACACCCTGCTGCAACCTGGGCATGGCAGCAACCGAGGTCCCCCCCCAACCCTGGTCACCCCCGTAGGGCAGTTTGGAGATTAAAGCTTTGCCGAGAAAGGGAGAGGGCAAAGCCAGCAGACCTGGCCGGGCAGGGCTCCTCGCTGCACGTCCTCTGCCGATCGTCGGGGCGGGTAAGCGCGTCGCAGTACCGCTCCTCCACGATGCCGGCCAGCTTCTCCACACAGTGCACGATCTGCCGCTGCACTCCTGCGGACACAGGCAAGGGCTTGGCTCGAGACGGAAATCGAACCGAAGCACCGGGCATCCCCTGCCAGCAGGCGAGAGGAGGCCCCAAGGTAAGCCTGAGCGACCAAAACCAGGGGAAAGAAAATGAAACCACCACTGAAACTGGAAGACGAGAGTCCACTTCTGCTGAGCTACTGATGCCCTCACAGAGCCCAACAGCACCAGTGCTCCCAGTGTAGCTGGGTGGGAAAAGCAGAGCTGGACCCCTGGCCTCAATCTGACACATGTGCGATGAGACCTGCGGAGCTCAGCTGGGCTGGAAAATTACTCTGGATCTGCAGCTGCAAAGCAGGGATACCTGGGAGGGAGGGATGGATGGATTGATGGATGGATGGAAGTAAGCAACACCAGTCCAGCCAGGACACGCGCTCCCAGGCAGCACGAGCAGCAGACGGCAGCCAAAGCCCCTTCCTGGGGCTGGTGGGACACGGTGTCTGTCTGTCCAGCACAAGGTAAACCTTGGCTCCTGCCCTCAGACCAGATTATGGCTGCCAGATTACACCCATTCTTTCAGGGCTTAGGGACGTCAGGAAACACCTAAAGAATGGCAAGAGTTCCCACAGAAGGCAAGGTGAGGACAGCCATGTCCAGAATGGCTGCCAGACCCCAAACTCAGACCGATGGCTTGCTCCAGCCTCTCAAACTCCATGGGACGTCTCCACACAGCCCCCCAGGGCTTTGTCTCCGTACCAAGTGGTACACAGGGACAAGGCACGTTAAAAGCAGGAACATCTCTGCCCTTCTGCTGGCTCTCGCTCTCAGATTTCTGCAAGGACCCCAGCTTTGTCCTGGTGGTCTCTGGCTGCATCCCTTGGTCACAGGCAATGCAAGGGGCGTTGCTGGGCGAGCTGCTGAGCAGAAATCTCTGGAGTAAAACCTTTACTATCCTACAGCTTTTATAGTCAGCATTGAGATGAAAGAGATGCAGAAAAATGCCCTTCCACAAGCTGCCTAAGAGGATTTAATTGCAAGGCAGCTGGTGGAGGCTCTGCAGAAAACACCCCGCTGCCGGAGGGACCTCTTGGCCAGGGGGAAAAACCTTTCCCCACCTCTCCCCTTGCGAAAAGCCTCTGCAGCCTGGTGCAGGGTGCACCGTGTGTTTGGGGCTCCCAAACCCGTGCGGAGCAGCACATGCGGGGCAGGACAGCGAACAGCAGAGATGCTGCAGCCCATGGGGGGAGCACCGTGCTGGCGCCACCGTCCACA